ACACACACACACACACATACACTCACACACGCACACACGCACACACACACATACACACACACACACACACAATCGCACACGTTGTGGTATGAGACCATTTGCAACACGCCATTGTTGAGGGCCTATTGACTCTACCATAATTCATTCCTTTCTTCGCCCTACACATTCTCAACCTCTTCGGTTTTCGTTTTTCTAGCCGTTCATTCAAAGTGATTGTCTTACCGAGATACACCCAGCATATTTATGGCTCCTCTGAGATTCTGTTTATGGCCCTGTCTCTCGCGTTAAATATTTCACACTATCGAATAATGTAATGCAGCCCTAAGGCCGTGCGCACACTAAGAAATTTCCGCTCGCTGTACAGCTGCGAGTATGCAAAAGATGCAATGTTAGCCCGTACATCGCTCTTCACTGCCAACTGACGTCATACTTAACAGCGCGGTGATGAGTAGAAATTTTGCTTTAGCTTGCTCACTTTCGTCTGACAGCGCTCAAAACAAAATTAAATGAAATCCCTCTGTTCAATCTTCTTAGATCTTTGCATACGGGTCTAAAAGTTGGATGACCAACATACAGAATCTAAACTCTTGGCCCCCTTCTGATCGGTGTCTACATCCGCAATACAAACTTCTCTGGAACTTTTGAGTTTTCATAGAAAAGATTGATCCTTTCTTGGGAGTTTTCAGAAAGCAGGTTTAGTGCAAATTGGTAAATATGTATGTTTATTTGAGAGCGTTCCCTTCCTTCTAGCCGCCCCACCCCCTCTGACCTCACAGATTTACTTCCTGGCTTCCTGGTTTCACAATCATCAGAGTAGTCTCTTGGAAAGAATCCCCACCATACAGATAACTGATCCCCTCACCCACCCCCAAGAGATTTATAATTATTGTACATTTCCCAGAGAGAGGGATAATCAACTATGTTTATGGAAAATATATGGTAAACATTTTTTTACTTGGTTACCTTTATAATCGGGGGAATCGACGAACCGATCGACAACCGATCGACAACCGATCGACAACCGATCGACAACCGATCGACAACCGATCGCCCGATTCGTGGCCTGAAAATAAACGCTTTTGTTTTTGAGGCTGCGAGTCTGGCTATCGGCTTGTGCCACAATGGTCGCTTTGCAAGCCCCGTCTACCAAACCGAACCGACCGGAACCGCCGACCCGAACCGAACCGATCGTGCCAATGGGCACCCCGTATTACATAAGATGCGAAATTTCATTGGTAATTTACAGCAGAATTAACGCTTCATTCAACACTGTAAGGCTATTTAAGAGGCAGGGCTCCCGAATTTATTAAAATTTAAGGCCGGCAAATAAACTTGAACTCCATTTCTCCGAACGGTTTCCGTAGATTTGTTGATAATAAGCGAAAGGAGTGGCTCGTGTGTGT